AAGGACATTAAAGCGTATTTGTGGAGCCTGGGAGAAGCAGAGCACACCTGTCAGCAATTTATTAGGCATGTGGACTAGAACAAACAGATGCAAGGGACTCATCCTATGACTGTTTACTCTGAATGGCAGGTAATGTCCCTGAACCAACCTCATTTCTCTGGAACCACTCTTGCAATCAGAGAGTTGGGGGCCTCACCTCTGGGGCCACATTCCGCGTTTCCTGAACATAGCCAGGGTGTCACTGGGGAGGAAGCCATGCAGGCACCGCCCAGCCAGGCAGTGCTACACAAGTCACTGGAAACAGAGGGCTGAAGACCTAGCGGCATCAGGACAATATGAGTCTCTTTTAATCCTCTCAGATGTAAAGTGACCTACTATATCTATAGGCATGAAATGTGTGGATTCACAAAAACAGAATGGACGTTTATGACTTTACTATTCTTTCAGACCCACTATAGATAGATGATGTTTCCCAGCATGTAAGGAAGAACATTTCCTAGTGGGTCACTCTGAAGTGACTATCATGGGAAAGACACTGGGGCATCCTGCTGCTCTAAGTGTGTGCTGAATGAAAGGCTGCACGAACAACGCATAGGCACTTCTGCTTAGCTTCCAGCACTCTGAGCGTGTCCAGAGAGTGTCATTTAATGGTGGTGGACTTCAGCTGCTCGCCTCTTCTGTCCAGATCTTCCAGGTCTAAAATCAAACCACATCACTCACCAGTGTAGAAATTCGTACATGATTTAAGATTCTATACGTACTTTAGATTCTGCTTTCCCAGCTGGCAAAAATTCCATTTCAAAAACTGGATTATCATGGTGGCCAACGATTACAAAGTAGAAGTTGCCAGACATTATCTTTATTATATGGCTCCTAATAAATGAAAAACAATACACATTTTCAGTACTCAATACTGAAATCCAAACATGATTTACAAAACTCCAGAATCTTTTTTCCTTAGCTTATACTTGGAATGTTTTCATGTATACTTATAATACATGGACAACTTTTGGACTATTCTAGTTATGTATCTAAGATTTATCCTATAGAATCCAAAGTACTGTATTTTCAGAGAGCACTGGAAACCCTCTACTATAAAATAAAAAAATGCAACATTTTCATGACCTGAAAATTCAGGACATTCATCTCAAGAGTCCCCGTGCGTCTCATGGAATAGCAGGCTTCATTTGGACTGCAATGGTTATCATTCACATGAACACTTACAAAGATGAATAGAGAATATTGGTTAGTTAAGTGCCATTGAAAGTAGAAAAGGCAAAGCAAATAGCTTGTCTCAAGTTCTTCTGAGGCGTCCTTCAGAGAAAGCTAAAAACAACTGTACCACATATAGTTTACAGAGGAGACACTGTATATTTATCTGCAGATTGTGTCCTATAGTCCTGCCTTTCTTCTTGATGTGTGACAGAATTTAAGTACCTACACATGCAAGAGCCTGTGATATCCTCTTTATGTACCTGAATGTAAGGAGGTTTAGGTTCTAGAAACAAAAATTTGAAGTAATATAAATAGGAAGACATTTTGAGGTCCTACAGGGTCTTAGTTGAAAAGAGGGCAATGAGGTTGATCAAAGCAAAATACTATAAACAATTAAGAGAAAGAAAGTTAGTGATTCCACGCCTTTCACTATAGATCATCCAAAACCTGAACTGGTAGACGAATGGGTGGATGGATAGGCAGAGAAACAGAAGAATAGATGGTGGCTGGGGGGTGGGCGGGATGGCCGGATTTACAAATGTGTGTATTTTAGCCTAAGGGCTTTAGAGCCCGACAAAGTTAGGTTCAAGGATAGCTCTGCCTCTTACTAGCAGTGAGGCCACCTTAATCTCCCAGGGCCTGTATCGTCAGCTGCACAGGAGATAACACTGTAGCTACTGCGATGATGCAACCATGAGAATTACACAATCGAATGCCTGGAAAGCATGAAAAGCTAACGCATGGTGCCTAGCTCACCGTCAGTGTTCAGTAAGTGCCATATGGAATACCACGGAGGAGCTTCTGCATGCCAGGATGTGGCCCCTCGTACCGTGCGAATGTGGAGTGGGCATCTGGTTAAGTGGGAGTGTCCTGTCAGCCTCCTGCACAGCCGGTGGGGGAGAACCAAAGAGTCACTCCAAACGTACAGCACAAGCAGCAGACATCTGTTTCTTTGAGTGAAACATTTTGTAAAAGGAAATCAGGCCACATTTGGCACCTTTAGCTCAAACTAGAAGGGTAGGACTGGAAGAAGTGGTAGGCAGGAGACTCTTGGCATGTGGAAATCAGGTTCATTTGGAGCAAAGTCAGTACACCGCAGACTGCAGATGAAATCTCGCCCCATACATCCTCCTTACTAGCCAAAGGCTGCTTTTGCTCTTCAATGGAGGAACTGAGCAGCCGCAACAGGGCCATCTGGCCCACAGAACCAAGAACATTTACTATCTGGGCCTATACAGAAAAAGTGTGACTCTTCTTCAGGGGAAAGCTAAGTAAAACAGGACAACGAAGACAAGCAAGGGCTGGCCACATAGCTCAGTGGATTAAAGTGCCTGCAAGCAGGTACTGGGGACAGGGGTTCTATTCCCAGGCCTGCCATGCCGGCCCTGCCCCGTGGTGTGCTGAGATGGCAATTGAGACTGGGCCTGCTGTTGCGAGCCTGTAATCCCAGTTCTTGGGAGGCTATAAACAGGCAGATTAAATCTGATCTAGTAGTGAGACCCTGAATATCCTGTAGACCCTTCCTAAAGTAGAAAAAAAATAAAATAAAGATAAGCAAGAATGCTACACTAGGAGACGCTGCAATCATTCTCCAGAGAAAGTGAGGGTTAGAGGAAAGAGAACTTAATGTGTCAACCAAGTCACCAATGATATCAGGAATTCTAACTCGATAGACTTTAGAGCTACAGTTGGCCAATGGAAGGGATTGTTCTCTTTAGCATATTTAAGCTGCAGCAGAAGAGGAAAAATAAAAACCCCAAACAGCAGAAGGAAATATATCTCAGGAAACAATTTATATTACCCCCCCACACACACACACTTGTTCTTTTCTGGAATTCCCAAAGGGAAGAGAAGCACAGCGCTTCATATAGCATGAAGAGGAACAGAAAGGGATCTGAAAGATGCAGAAAGGTTCTGTTACAAACTACTCAGCTGGGCACAAGAGACAGAGACTTCTTTATATACATTCTGTCCTTGACTTGAGCTACCAATAATTTGATTTTGTAATCAGCTCAAGAAGCTAGAAGGCCTATAACTCTCCATTCCATTCTGCCAAGGGAAATCTGACAGGTGAGGTGAAAGAACTTAAAACCTGGGACCAAAGTACCCCACTGTCTCAGGAAGATAATAGTTGCGGTCACTTAGTAGCTACATGCAGGCTTATGAGATATCTCTTCTGTCCAACATAGTGAGCTTTCTCTCACAAAAGAAATGGTCCATGACTACAATATCCAGAGCAGGAGGCTGGAAACATTTAAAATGTCACTAGTGTCAATGCAAAGGGAATCAGTAATTTTAGTTCATTTTAGTTTAAACACATTTTAATCATAAATACATACTTTAAACCCCTGTATTTGGATAGAGAGCACAACATGAGACAGCACAACTCTAGATAAATGTTCTTAATTTCTTATGAATCAAGATATTACTTAGAATTCCAATATATAAGTGAAGTGATAGAAATAAAGGATTTGCTGTTTAAAGTACCAATGTTTGCACAGGTGTACATAAATGTGTCTGTTCTGAACAGAGGATGCTGAAGCACGCTGTGGAAGGCCAGCCTAAGAATGTTGAGGAGGTAGCCCCACAGCACTCAGCAATAGGTTAAATCAGGGAGTTGAGAAAGAGAGCTGAGATAGTCTCCAAATGCCTAGTTTAGATGACCATGTTGAATAGTATATCCTCTTGAGATGTCACGTCTTAATCTCTGGAATCTGTGAGCATGTTAGAGTTCCTGCCAGAGCAAAAGTAAGGTTACAGATGATGGCATAAAGATGATCTTAAATTAGGGAGATTAAGCTGTAATGTGATCGCATGTGCCTCTAATAATCTCAGCACTCTGGTGGGCTAAGAAACAAAGACTCTGAATTTGATCCTAGCCTGAGCTACATGGGAAGTTCAAAGTGAGCTTGGAGCATAGTGAGACCCTGTCTCAAGAAAAGCATATGGGATATCATACTAGATCATCCAGTTGGGTTCAGTTGAACCAGAAGCACCCTTAAAGTGCAAGAGGGAGGCAAAAAAACAAAGTTAGAGGGAAAAGTGCGTATGGAAAAATGGTCACAGTGATATATCACCAATTGCTCTGAAATCAAAGGTTTTATACCCAAGAAATGTAGATGGCTTCTTTTTAATTTTATTTGTGTGTGTGTGTGTGTGTGTGTGTGTGTGTGGCCAGCTCAGCCCACCAGGGGGCAGGGTGGCTGGCATGTGGTGGTGGGGGATTGAACCATGGTCCCTGTGCTTTGCAAAGCTTGTTCTAAGTAGGTGCTTTAGACCACTGAGCCATCTCACCAGACCCCGTAGATGGCTTCTTGAAGCAGGAAAGCACAAAGCAATATTCTTCCCAGAATAAGCTTCCCAGAGCTTTCAAAAGCAGCACAATCCTGCTGACACCTTCATCTTGGCCCAGTGAGATCCATGTCAGATTTCTATCCACAGAACACTAAGGTATTTGTGCTGAGTTAAGCCATTAAAGTTGTGGCAATTTACCAAGGCAGCAGAAAGAATCTTGCATACATGACAAAGCTGAAAAACCTGCAGCTTGAGAAGGAAGGAAGGAAACATTCAAAGCAGTGTCAGAGCGTGAGTAGAAGACACATTCTATGTAGCAACTAGGAACGAAAGGCAGTTTCTTTGCCAGAGGCAGGGTTTTCAGAGCACAAGGCAAAGACATCAGGGGGAGGCCAAGGTGCATGAATGTGGGCATAACCACTGCATTGTGAGGATGTCAGTGTGGAGAAGACTAGCAGCATGCAATGCTTGCAGAGTGGAACTGCAGACGGGAGCTGTAGCCTAGACAGTGATGCCTCTCAGATGCTGCTGCAATGCTGGAATGAGAGGTATGGTGGGGTTTTAGGAGGCTCCACACTAAAAGAACTTGCTGAGAATGCCAGTGCTGAGGCCAAAGTGCTCTCCAGTGACTAAGAAGGACCTCTGTGTTCAGATGATCTTCAGCACCTTCTTGGGAAGTTGCTGAAGTCTGTTAAGGTCCCTATGAAGAAATCCGCCATGACAAGTGGCTGGAGTAGGTAGCTGATGAGGAGCCAGGGCTCTCACCTGGCGTGGAAGCAGCACCTGTCTCTTATGGTTACGGCAGCTTGAGCTTTTTGGGGGAGGGAGACTACTTTAGCAAACAACTTGCTGATATGACGTGATAGTGGGCAGACAAACAATGCAGAAACTGACTAGTAACAAACATAAAAATGGGACCAGAAACCTCTGAGGTAAGACCAGAGGGACGAAAGCCCACAAAGAACCAAAGTGTATAAAATATCGTAAGAAAAACAAAACACTTTTTAGATTAAGATAAGGAAAAAGCAGACAGGAGAAAGGTTAACTAACTGCTTTAACCACTTGGTACACACTGAATTGTCCTTGTTAAAAAGAACGGCTTTCAAATAGCAAGCATAGAAAAAAATCGGATTAGGCAGGATGCAAACATCACATTTGTCAGTTTTGCTAACATAAAATATCTGTCTGAGTTCAATCCCTGGTTCCGTGAAAAAAAAATCAAAAAAATTGGGCATTTTGGAGATTCCAGTGTTTAGGGCTTTAGATTGACAAATGTGATTGCATTTCCACTGCTGACTGACATTTGAGACAACACAGGGAGAAAAGCACCATCCCCTCAGAGAAAGGTTAAGTAGTATTCCTATTTTCAGAAACAGTAAAAAAGGTTCTCATCTGTAACTGGGTATAAAGAAACTGAAGCAACAGAAATATATATTAAATGCCTGGTTTTTTGGTCAGACACAGCAGGAACTTTTATTATACATTAACTAATGTAATAGGAATCTCTGCAGAAAACAGTAAGTTATTAGTCATTCTCATACTGAGAACAAGCCATGCCAAACTTAGATCTTTTGTTTAGGAAGGAAAATATGATAGATAGAAAATAAATCATTTTTGGAGATAATTTCATATTTACCGAAGAACAAATCGCAGACCTGTAATAGCCTGGGTGATAATACACAGTTTTGCTTGACTTAATACACCAGGTTTGCTGGCACCCTCTATAAGAGCACACCCACTATTCGTTTTGTGCAATGTGACATTCCCAGAGCTACAATAATGCTAGGGGCCCAGTAGGCATGCTTATTTGCTGGAGAAGGGATCACTCACAGCTGATTTGTGCATTAATACCTAAAGAAATGGAATGTTCTATGCCCAGGGTCTCTAGGGAGGCTTGGAGGTTGACTTTAACCAATCCAGGTCAGTACTTGAGTCTACAACTTGGATGAAGATACTTCATCACATTCAAAGATAATGCTAAGGGTAGTTAATTTATTAGAAGGCCTAGGTTAGGATTCAGAAAGATCTCTATGGCTAGGAGTTAGATGAAATTAACACGATATAATTTAAGATGAGAAATAGAGCCTGCTATTGAGTTTCAAAACAAATTGACAGGAAGAAGGAAACCTAAACTGAGAACAATTCAGCTGCAAGAAGCTCGAAGTTTTAATTTACTGCAAGCTCATTAAGAGGCAGTTTGATGTTGTGGTCAAAAGAGAAAAGTAGGGGCCAGGCAGATAGCTCAGTGTCATAAATGCCTGCCTGGCAAGTGAAAGGTCTTGAGTTTGATCCCCAGTTAAAAAAAAAAAAAGAGCTACAGTAATTCTAGGCTGCATTAAGACAAAGAGATGTCCAAGCAAGGCTGGGAAAGTGCTGACCTCCTCTTTAGTAATATCACCTTTGAGGAAGTTCCCAGTTCTGGGAACAACATTTTAAAAGGATCAATAACTCTTTAAAAAATGTTATTGGCAAAGGGTGAGATCTAGTCCAGGGAAAGCTCTAGAAACAAAATTGGAAGTAAAGAAACTAAGGATGTTTAAGCTAAACATTAGCTTAACAACAGTGTTTTTTAGAAAATGTACTAAAATGTGCAGTTTATTCCACATCATTATACAATGTTTACATAGTTATAATTCTGAAGAAAATGCTTTTTCTTCACCAATGTCATGTAGTGCCTCTATCTTTCACTTACTTGATCGTGGAGATTTGGAAAGAGTGGAAATCCTCGTGGAGTTCTTCTCTACGGAGTGGTGGTGGGCTGGGAGTGTGCCCGTCACAAAGGACCTTCAGTCTTAAAAGAGCAACTCGGCTTTTTCGAAGCCTTGGTTTTAGGATTACAGTTATCTGGGATCCAAAGTTTCATCTAAAATAAATTAGTGGTGGACAGAACATTGTACAGTTTAGGATTCTGTCCACCACTAACATTAGTTTCAGTGAGGAGATACAGCACAATACAATTTTTTTTTTTTTAGGGAAGGGTCTACAGGGTGTTCAGGGTTTCACTACTAGATCGGAGTGATCGGCCTGTTTACAGCCTCCCAAGAGCAGGGATTACAGGTGCGTGCGACCACACCCAGGCTGTCTGTCTGTCTGTCTCTCTCCTTCTCTTTAACCCATTAGTGTCAGGTTTATTTCACTTATGAGTACAGTCTCCAATGGCATTCATTTACCTATGAAAATTTCCAATTTATCTTTCTTTATGGCTCAGTAGTACTGCATTGTACAAAAACACATCTTTTTTACCCACTCCCCAATTGATGGGCATTTGCGTTCTTTCATTTTATTAATTTTATTGAGAAACAAATAGCACCCAGTGTCAATTGCAGGCTCAGTGCACCCTGGGGGTACGGCCGACACAGCAGACCCGGAGATCGAACTCCCGCTCCTCTGCCTGCTTTCAGGGGCTTTAATCTGCTGAGCTATTTGGCCAGCCCACAATACTATTTTTAAATATGCTGTTTAATAGAAAAAGGATTTGACTGGGCATAACAAAAGGTTTCTTTTCCTTTACCAATTCTAATCACTTTGTAGTGACTGCCAGGAACTGGTGCTTAGAAAAAAACTGCAGTCAGCAGGAAATAACTGATCAATTATTCATGTCTGCTTGGGTTTGGGGGAGTGCATGGCTTACATGAGGGGCACCACTATATTTCTTAGTTCTGCTAACTCTGCACTAGACAGATTTACTCTACTCTTCTCCATAAGCCAACTTCAGGGCTGCTTATCTGAATTTAGCTGGAAGATAAAAATAAGTAAGGGACAGGAGGAGGACCACTAGCACCAGAATGGGAGGATGAACTCAAAGGCTCAGAAGTTCTTTCCAACTCTCAGCAATTTTAAGTTGCAGGCAAATACAAGACAAAACTCATGAACTGCAATTCCAAAGCCATTTACTTTTTAAAAGCAAACTCTATAGCAGCCTCTAAAATGGAACTTCTAGAAAAGTGCCCTGTGCTCTAGGCAGCAGTGCTTTCTTTCAGTTGTTCCACAGGCTTGAGGCTGCCAGACTGAAGTGGTGTGGCATAAGATATGGCTATTTAAATGAGAAGGAGCAGCATGAACATTATTGATAAGTCTCTAATGGGAAATTTTCCTATTTCTATTATAAGCAGCTCTTCCCACTGCCAAGTTTATGCTGGCTTTTTGTGGACCTGTTAATCTAATTCTATTCAACTTTGGGACCAAAGGTAGGGGTGGTGTGATAGTGTCTTCACGCATGGATGCTTTTAAAAAAAATAGCGGGCTTTTAAACAGTATTTACAACATTTTATTGCACTGAGCTACACTCCATGTTCTCCCCTTTTAACAGGATCTCCCTAAGTCTCTTAAGTAGCTCAGGCTGGGCTTGAACTTCAGATCCTCCTGCCTCAGCTTCCCAGAGTGCAGGGATTACACCACCATGCCCTGATTTATATTGTCTTTCTAGAACACTATTTTCATCATCCTACTATTCTGGTAAAAACTCAAAACAGATTCTCATGTTGTTCCTTCAACCTTATTGTTGGCTTTTGCTAGAGGTGACAGATCTACTTATTTTCTTCCAAATTCACTTTGATTATATCTGTGTTATACTTCAGAGTTACTTTCCTTATTTCTCTTTTTATATTTGGAGCACCCTTCCAGATTGACTGGCCAAACCTTACCCATCCTTTAAAGTCCAACAAAGTCCTTCTTCCACAATTATTTCCAACACAACCTACAGACATGTCTACATTACTGGTGGAAATGTAATCTAGTACAATCACTATGGAAATTAGTATGGTTTTTCCTCAAAAAAACCAACTAAAAATAGAAATTCCATTTGACCCACCTATTGCCATTCTAGGTATCTTCCCAAAAGTGTTAAATACATCATATTACAGTGATAAATGCATATCCATACTTATAGCAGTACAACACATAATAGATCAATCTTGGAAGCAGTTTGCATGCCCATCAACAAATGAATGGATAAAGAAAATGTGGTATTAATACACAATGAATGACTACTGTGGCATAAAGGATAAATTTGAGTCATCTGTAGGAAACGGATGCACTTTAAGTCATAATGTTAAGTGAAATAAATCAGACACACAGGCTTAAATATGGAATGACTTCCCTTATATGAGAAATCCAAAATATTAATAAATTAAAGAGCAAATAAAAATGATAAATAATAAGAACCAGGGAGATAGACTTTTTGCAAAGGGTACAGGTACCCAAGGATAGAGGGAGGATATAAGAGAGGGGGACGAAAACACAATTAAGATGTGTTATGTACAGAAACCAACTTTCGCAATGAGTGTAGTCATTAGGCACTGCAAACCTGGACTAAGAAAAAACCTGACAGGCTGTCCACCTTCTATGAAGTGTGTTATTCTCGCTGCCTCTGAAACACTAAACTTTTCACAGCCAGAGATCAAAACTTGTACTGTCCTTTAGTGCTTGTGCACAAAACTGACAGCGACCCAATTCTGTCCTCATTGGTAGGACATGAGTTACCTTATATCCCCAACACACAACTTTGGAGTCAAACCACAATTTGCACTGCCTCTAAAAGTGTCCTGAGATTTTTATTCCCTGGCTCACTTTCTCTTCTCCGATGTTGTCCTTTTTGTCCACTATCTAAATCTCACTAATCAAGGCACTGATGAATACCACTGTTTGTCACATTGACTACTTCCACCTTCAACTGCCTATCCTTTCCCCAAACACTTTACACTCCCTACAGTGCTTTTGTTCTATTTTTAAGCTGTAATGGTTTCATTATTGCTTCTGAGAGATTTGGTTCCTTTGCTTTCCAATTAGATTTAAGTATCCTGAGGAAGGGGCTCAACTTTATCTTTCTCACAGCACACAAAAGTGAGTATTATAGTTTGTTCCGCTTCCCTGAAGACATATGACACGGTCTGGAGGCAGCTTGTTTTCACAGCAGCGCGCCTGCATGCTGTTAACACATTACAACGCACAGGACTAGACTACTTCCTGCAACAAAGAGTTTTCTGGTTACAAATGTCAACAGTGTCACGGTAAAGAAACGCTGGGTTAGCTGAATACAGTGAAAAACAAGCCTCCCAAAGACGGACCTCTGCTGGTGGAAACGAGGTGTGGCGCGGCCAGGTAGGGCTGCCGGGATTGAGGTAAAAGGAAAACGTCCGCGTCACGCGAAACCTGGGCCGTCCCCCAGGGACTCCGAGCGCCCGCCCCTGCCTCCTTGCTCCCTACCTGTCGTGACACACAGACAAAGGAGACGCCCAGTCAATGCTTAACTCTGCGACCCGCGCTCCGCAGCTTCAGCCGGGAACTCCAGGAGCAGCGCTCGCGAGATAACCTCCGAGAATGAGCTATCGCGAGACTTGTGTGGAATTTACGGTTTGGGCTGCGTAGTTGGGCGCATGCGCCGTGGCAGTGTAGACAAAGGTGGCCACGTAGGCTTATGAGATGTCAGGTGGCCCGGAATGGACTTTGAGCGGTGAAAACTGGCGGTCCTCTCTCGCTGCTGGGCTTCTCTCTCCAGTTCTCCGCCCTCTAACTGCTGCCTTTGAGAGTCTCGCTTAGATCACGGCCTCGCACACCCTTGAAAACCACGGAGAGAGGGAGTGAGCATTTTTGCCAGAGTTCTAGTTCGAAATGCTAGGCTGGCGCTTTCTCCCCTGTTCTTCGGGTCCCCCGGGATACGGGCTTCAGAAGGCAGGGATTCCCTCTGGTCCAGGGTCGGCAGCCTGGGCTGGGCCTCGAATCGGGTCACAGGGGGCAGGCTCGGGAGGAAGCAGATACCCGCTGATGGCTCAGGTAGCTACACTTGCCACTTCGCGGGACCGACGGGAGAGGTCTCTTGTCAGCGCACTCTTGTCAGCGTCCTTGACCCACGGGCATTTTAGGGCTCCACAGCCGTCACTGGCCGATTTTCAGAAATTCACTTCCCCTCTAGCCTCCAAGTAACTCACAATCATTTTCTCTTCCAGTCCATAATGCCCCCCAAGTATGATGTGTTGAGTCAAGATGAACTACGCAAAAAGCTATACCAGACGTTTAAGGATCGGGGTGTACTGGACACGTTAAAGGTACCAGATTTAGGCATAACTGTGTCATGGCTCTTACAAGTGCTACCTTTAGCAAATAATCTGTATTTAAATTCATCCAGAGCTTGGGTTTTTAAAGTACAGTGATGTATGGATTGTACTGGTGATTTATATGTTTATATGGAAAATGTTGCATTTGAGTCAGTTTAAAATAGCCTATCCAAATAATAGATTTATGGAATTGACATTAGTGGTAATATGTAATGAATATATTTTAGTAAGATTAGACTCGTTCTATAAATCTGGTATATGAGTCCTGAATTAACAGGTGGTTTTGTAATACATTTGATGAAGGCCATTGACTCCATATAGAAAATATTAAGTGCACTGCTTACTGTACAGCAGTTTGACACCTTGTTTTTTAAAGACAGGGCCTCAGACTGGGCGTGGTGGCTCACACCTGTAATCCCAGCTCTTGGGAGGCTGTAAACAGGTGGATCACAGTCTGATCTAGTAGTGAGACCCTGAACACTCTGTAGACCCTTCCCTAAAATAAAAAATAAATAAATGAAAAGAAAAAGAATAAGGACAGGGCCTCTTTCTGTAGTCCAGGCTGGCCTTGGACCCACCATGAAGCCCAAAGGGGCCTCCAACTTCACAGGTGTACGCTACCACACTAGGCAGTAGAACAGTTTGAGGAATTACATTTTTCCTTAAAATTATATTGGGACATAGCATTTAATATGAACAGCAGATATGTATTAGTACACTTTATATTTTAATGGGGTGGGATTAGCTCAGTTTCTTTACAATATGCGTTTCAAAAGTATTAAGTAGGAAATTAGAAAAAGTGACCCTGATTAGTCCCATCCTCCTGCCCCATATTTTGTAATCTGATAAAAACAGATTCATCTGGAAAATACAGAAAAGTAGAAGACAGAAAATGATGTCTAATTCAGCCACAGCTGGCAGAGTGTCTATATTGTTTTAAACTGCATGATGACATTTCCTTGTTGCCTTAAATTTCTTAAAATCTTCATTTTCAGTAGCAGCAAGCTCATCTTTGGATGTATGTGTAATTTATGTTGCAGTTTCCTGTTGTTGACTATTTAGTTTCTGTCCAAGTCTACGCATAGCTTTCAGTTGCACTTTTATTTTTTGCTTAGCATAGATTAACATAAGCACTTTTTAAGGTTATTAATGTGTACATCTTGTTCTGTTTTTCTGTGTGTGTGTGTCTTTTTAAGTCTTGCTATGTAGTTCAGACTGGCCTTGAGCTCACTTTGTAGCCCAGGTTGGTCTTGAACTAGCAGTAGTCTTCAGTGTCCTGAGTGCTGGGATCACAGGCATGTGCCACCATTCCCAGCTCTTTTCTAAGTTTTTTGAAACAGGGTCTCACTGTTATTTGGGTTGGCCTTGAGCTCACCATTATTTCCCAGGCTGGTCTCAAACTTGCAGAAATCCTCCTGCCTCAGCTTCCTGAGTGCTGGGATTATAGGTGTGCTTCACCAAGCCCAGCTATACTTTTGAAATTTTAGGCCATTTTTTACATTTAATTCCTTAACCCATCTGTAATTAACTCCAGTGTATTAATCTAGCGTTAATAATTATTAATATAGTTAATAATAATTTCCCTGGAATTAATTGTACTTCATTAATGTACTTTCTAATATTAACAATCCTTACATTCCTTGATGTGTCCTAGTCTAGGTTAGGTCTGACAGTGCTTTACTTCAAATCTGCACTCACCATTGGTACTGGCCAGTCATTATCCTCTTTGAGCTGTCTTTTGGCTTTGGTATCAGGATAATGCTAGCCTTGTTCATTCTGTAGCTACATAGTGTGGCCTCCTGTTTGTTTTGCAGGTGGATATGCACTTTCTGCTATTCCGTCTTAATCGATGGAAGCAGAATCTTTACTTTTCTCTCACCTGAGCTACTTTTTACTTTTTGAAGATTAGTATAGGTGAATTATAATTTTTAAAATTAGCCAAATTTATGTTTTTATTTTCTGTCTTTAAGACAAGTTCTACAGGGTATACAGGGTCTCACTACACAGATCAGACTCATAGTGATCTTTCTGTATTCAGCCTCCCAAGTGCTGGGATTACAGGTGCATGTCACCACTCCCAGTCACAGCGTGCCCCAGGAGTGGGGCCAGCATGGCATGTGGGGGATTGAACCCCAGCTACTGTGCTCTGCCTAAGCAGGTGCTTTACTCTGCTGAGCTATGAGGCCAGCCCTCAAATTTATGTTTTGTCTAGGTATCTGAAAAGAATTTCTGTCTAAAGAAATAAACAATTTAGATGTCATTAAATGAAGCTGGTTAAATATTCTGTTTCCTTATTCTGGTCTAATTAATCAATTTCTGAGGACTCAGAAGTTTCTTTTCTCCCACTTCTCATGGTTACTGTTTCTCCTCCTTCCCCTTCTCTACCTCCGCCTCCCCCTCCTCTGGGTTCTTTTGAGACAGGGTCTCACTGTGTAGTTCAAACTGGTTTTGAACTACACAGTGATCCTCCTGCTTCAGCTTCCTCAGTGCAAGGATTATAGGTGTGTGTCACCATATTTACCTCAAGCCACTTTTTTGCCTCCTTTTAGGAAGTACTACATGATATAATTCTCCTGTGTCATTTCATTTTTTCCTATTTTTCATTTCACTAGTTTATATCATTCATTTTTTTCTATTTTATTCTGTTTCATTACTTGTTTGCAAAAAGACACCATAAATCCTTTTATTAACTAAGGTCTGTCTGAATATACCAATATGTTACAGATGTACTATAATTAAACTCCTTGTAAATTTTACTGATGAAGGATGTTATAGTTACTTTTTCTTTGCTTTATTATTTTAGGTAGTGAAATTTTTTAGGTTAGAATGAACATGCATATTTTGTTCAGTATAAAGGTCTTTTTAAATACAGTATTTTAGGGCCAGGGATATAGATCAGAGACACAGTGCCTGCCTGACAAGCACAAAGTCCTGAGTTCAATTCTCAGTACCAAAAAAAGAAAAAATATTAAAATAATAAATATAGGTTTTTACATGTATAAAAAGTCCTGCTTTATCTTTGTAATTATATGTCATTCTTTTTGTAGTTAAAGGACATAAGAAAGGTAAAATAAGAACTCCATTTGTTGCTTGCTTATATTCTGTTAATATGAATTATGAGGTATTCTTTCCCACAAATCTTGGCAATTTGCTCTTTTTTAAATTTTTAAAAATCTTTTATTTATGTATTTGGTACAGGGTCTCACTACATAGCTCAGACTCAGTGATCCTGTGTCTGCCTCCCCAGCACTGGGATTACAGGCGTGCAACACCATGCCTGGTTTTGGTGGCCAGCATGGCATGCCTGGGCTTCTGGGCCCTGCACAGCATGCAGAACCAGGGATAGAACTTGGGTCCTTGCACTGGCCAGGCGGTCACTTAGACCACCGACCTATCTCCCCAGACCAGCAATTTGCTCTTGAGCTCTGTACAATTGTATATTTCCAAGTTATATGCAAAATAGATTAAAACAAATGTTCTGTAGTCTGTTTAACTAAGGGGATTTTCTTTTCTTTGTTTCTGGTACTAGGAATCAAAACTCATGACCTTGGACTTGCCAGGCAGGTGGTGTGCTGCTGAGCTAAATCTTCAGCTATGTAGGGATTTTCTTAACATCCAAATGGCTAATAATGCCACTGCTATTATCTTTTCTTTTCTTTTTTTTTTTTTGGTGGAACCAGGGATTGAACTCAGGCCCTTGTGCTAGCCAGACAAGCGCTTATTCTACTGACCTATGTCTCTGGCCCCAGTGCTATCATCTTGAGAAAATTACCTACTCCAAACCTAAATTTCTTGATTTATGAATTGTGAAGTTTATTATACTTAACAACAGCCCTTTCCACTTGTGCCAACCCTGCCCCTGGGGCTCACTGAGATGGGGATTGAAACTGGGTGTGGTGGCATGTGCCTGTAATCCCAGCTCTTTGGGAGGCTGAACATAGGCAGATCGCTATGAGTCCAATTTACGTAGTGAGACTCTGTAGACCTTACTAAAAAATACAAAAAGAAAAGACCCCCAAAACAATGGCTTGAAATGTTAATACTCCGTATGAAAGTACATTCTTTTGTTTTTGTATTGAGGATTGAACCCAGGGCCTTCTTCAGGGTTAATAATTTCTCTGTTTTGAGAACCCAGTTTTACTTTGATCAGTGTGCCCAATAAGCTGGTTTGACCCAACAGTATTTTCACGGCCTCTGGCAACCCACGGAAGTGTGAAATTACTGGATGGCCTCCTTTACTTGATCACAGGCATCTGTGCTCTTAGGGACGTGAAGTTAATCTAGTTGGTCTGGCTGAGTTCACCTGGGAGCTGGTGGAGAAGGATTTTGCCTGAACCCACTTGGTTGCTTTTCTCGCCAGTTCAGACAAATTTCTCAGGACTTAGCTCCTACTTTGTGGCCATGGGTCTAGGACCATTCTGGAAATAAAAATGATTCCAATGGAAACAAATCTTTGTATCTTTAGTGAAGCATTCCTGCAAAATTTTCCCTCTTTTCTTTCCTCCCCTCTCTTGTATTTTATTTTGTTTTGTTTTGCACAGACACAACTCAGAAAGCAGCTAATCCATGAGTTGATGCACCCTGTACTGAGTGGAGAGCTTCAGCCTCGGTCCATTGCAGTGGAAGGGAGCACCCTCTTAATCGGTGCCTCAAACTCTATAGTGGCAGATCACTTACAAAGATGTGGCTATGAATATTCCCTTTCTGTGTTCTTCCCAGAAAGTGGTTTGGCAAAAGAGAAGGTAAAGTCTTTCTGTTTTTGAATTTTCTCCTAATAGTTTCTTCCTTTGATAATTGTAAGGTGCTATATAATAGCTAAATGTTCCCTTTTTTGTGTGTTTGGAACTATAGATTGGACCCAAGAAACTATATCCCCAGCCTGCTAAGTGTTTCTTAACTAACTAGTTTCATTTCTTTTTTTTTTTTTTTTTACTAGTTTCATTTCTTGTTCATCTGTGAATTCACAGTGTGTCTGCCGGTAATACACAAGGTGGTATCTTGTATGTTGTTACATCACAAATGAATACTGAATGTGATTGTTATTAATTTTTTGATATTTCAGTCTTTTAGAACTGGAGCTGATCTTATATTCCATGTAGTCTCATTAGCATATAAGTACCATTTCTGTTGAATGTCACCTGTGAACTTGTCACCATGCTATGTACAGTGTAGGTATCGAGTATCGCAGATGACCAACCAGCCCCTGGATAGGTGATTTGCCCAAGGTCATATAACTTCTTTTTGGCCGGGGGTGAGGGTGGGGTTATGGGAATTGAACTCAGGACCTTGCACTCGTCAGGCAGGTCCTGTGCTGCTGAGCTGTTTTCCCAGCCCACATAATTTGTAAGTGGCATAATTTGCGACTCTAGATCACTGAAGTGTGTTCTTTTTAGAATATCACAGTGTCTTCAGATTTCTCTGCTTTGTAATTGCATAAGAGAAGTGATAATCACATACGTAATTTTTTGTATTTTAGAGAACCATCTACAGGGTGTTCAGGGTCTCACTATTAGATTGGGCTCGTAGTGATCCGCCTGTTTACAACCTCTCAAGGGCAGGGATTACAGGCATGTGCCACCATGCCCAGTCTTAATTGCCATCTCAGCACGCCCCAGGGATGGGGCCAGTACGGTTTGAACCCCTGGCCCCTGCGCTTGCCTGCAGGTGCTTTAATCTGCTGAGCTATTTGGCCAGCCCTTGAAAATTGCATACCTAAAGGAAACTGTAAAATTCTCAAATATTAAGAACGTCTTTTGTGTTTTGTCCCTTTTCTGATTATTTTAACTGTATTTTCATCAATATGTTAGTCATACTTTATTATTTTAAAAGTAGATATAGCAAATGCCCTGGTGGTTTTCTTTTTTAAATATAACTTTTTTCAGAACAGTTTTAGGTTCACAGCACAATTGAGTGGAAAATACCTAGAGGTCACATACACCTGCAACCGCACACATACACTGACCTTCTTACCGTTACCAGTTCAACTCTGGATGGTATATCTGCTATGGCTGATGAACTTACCTTGACATATTTAGCACGTGACATTTAGTTTACATCAGTGTTCACACTTGGTGTCATCCCTGACTTTTTACTCTATTTGATCTGTAATTATCCAAAAGTTTCATATTCTAGTGCTTAAAGGAAATGACATTAGTATTTGAAGAAAATCATGAAATTTAAATATGTTTCTTTATTAAGAATTAAACACAATTCATCAAAATTAAGAATTCAATTTTAGTCTGTCGTTCTCTAACTTTCTTATGATGTTTTATAATTTTGCTTAATGTGAGCAATGATTAATTATGTAATTATTATGGCAGTAATCAGTTTGTGCATTTAATGGCTTCTACTCATATAAAATACTTTGCAGAATACTTTCTTCCTTGGAAAGCTATTTGAAAATAAATTACTGCATCTCCGTGTTATAAATGGTACATACTGTAATAGAAATTCATATTAAGAATAGCTATTCACACTGTTTAAAGATGTTTTGGGTACCTTGTAATCATTGTTGAAAGTACAGTGAAAATTTAGTTTCTTTACATTTTTAAGTAGTAATTAACAACATGAAGACCTGGAATTCTCTCTATTCATTAGTTCATTAGATACTATATTTGAGTGTCATCTGAAAGGCATTACCTATTTCTATCAGTGTTAGGCATATCATCTTTGATGTTAAGTATTTTAGAGTTAATTACATTATTGAGAAATTTTTGTCCTTTTACCCTCAACATTTATTGTAACTTATTTAACAATGTAAGAAAGAGTTCCAGTTTTGCATTAACAACATAGTTGTAATCTTCATTTAATCTGACATATGAGTCATAATACCATATTCTGAAACATATCTTAATCATTTAAATTTTTTTTTCTGTATTTTAGAGAAGGGTCTACTGGCCGTTTAGGGTCTGACTACTAGATCAGACTCGTAGTGATTCTCCTGTTTACAGCCTCCCAAGTGCTGGGATTATAGACACGCGCCACCATGCCCAGTCTCAATCACTGTCTCAGCGTATGCCTGGGGGCGGGGCTGTCACAGCAGTTGATCATTTAAAATATTGATGTAAAAAATCTACCTAATTCTTTTTTCCTCTTAAGGTATTTACTATGCAAGATCTATTACAACTCATTAAAATCAGTCCCACGTCCAGTCTCTACAAGGCACTGGTAAGATTTAGTTTTTATTTATTTATTTATTTTTATTTATTTTTTGGCAGAACCAGGGATTGAACTCAGGCCCTTGTGCTTGCTAGGGAAGCACTTATTTTACTGATCCATCTCCCCAGCCCCCTGGATTTAGTTTTTATAACCTGCTTTGATTTGCTCATTATAACTGAATACTTGAGTAAATATAAAATATTTTCTTTTAACAGATTTCAGGATTTGAGAAAGAAAACCAGAAAGGTAGGAACCTTCACCTTAGTGGAAACTAGCAAAATTTTATACATACCTTTTTTCTGTGAAAGTATGAAGCTATTAACTTTTAAAGAGAGGGATAAGAAATTTAATTTAATTTGAAGAAATTTAATTTGAACTAAATCATTTGGTTTTCCTTGCTGACTGTACCTCACCTTTAAAATAATATTTTGTAGGTTCTGACAAACATAGGCTTGTTTCTCCCTTCCCTTCTTTTTACTAACTCTTAGATAGCAAGAGTGCTATGAACAGATTGAAAATATTCTTTTTTTTTTGAAAATATTCTTTGTAAAAATACACATTGGGGTATGTCCACACACACACACAAAAACTAATAACATTTGGCCAAATATCTTTGTATCCTTGGTGTCCCCCTCAAATACGATTTGTAGAGAGTAGAATATATTTGTTTAAAGAATATCTTTCAGCAATAAGGTTTTAAAAAATTTTTGAAGTGTTAGTACATACATAATAAATTACCTTAAACTTAGCCTTGATCATAGTAATCTTTCATAGAATCCATAGCTATTGAGGTTGCCTGACCATATAGTAGATTTGATGGTGGCCTTGGTAGCTTGAACTTAACCTGGCAAATTGCCTTTGATGCATAGTGAATCTTTTGGTGTTTTAAAATAATGTATGACATTGTGTCATGGTCCTTCTGTGTTGGTTTGCTTTTGGATTTTTGGTCTGTTGCCAACACCGCTGCCATCCTTACTAGGATACTGTTTCCTTCAGAACTCATTCAGCAAACCTTTGCGTACCACCTTCTTTTTGTTTCTGTTTTTTGTGAGACAGGATCTTGCTATGTAGTTCAAGCTGACCTTGAACTCATGGCAATCTTCCTGCCTCAGCCTTCTAAATCCTGGGATTACAGGCATGTACCACCATGTGCCGTTTGAGTACCAATTTTTAATCAGCCAGTAGTCCCTTGTTTAACTTCCAGGTCTCCTGGGGTAAATTTTTGATTGGATCACAAGACATTCTAGGTTGCCTGCAAAAGCATTCCTGCTGAAGTGTGGTAAGCACCCTATATTCTGGATGCTAAGGCAACGACATCTAGTTAACTCTGTTAGGATAAAGATGTGTGTATGACTGCTGTCACGTGGTGTTCACTAAACTCATGGGTTTTCAGTCTTGAAATGTGGTTAGTGGGACTAAATAGCTGAATTTTTACCTTAGTTTAATTTAAATTTAACCACACTGGACAGTACAGCCTGAAGGTATATAGATAATGTCTGTTGCTTTGTTATTTGAGCAGGAAATTTGGGGCTTGAAGGGGTGTTGAGAAATAATCTACTTATTACATGCACTTTTATTATCCTTAAAAGGTATTTTGCCTTTACAGTCTCCTTAAATGCTTCTAGTTCAGAAAGATATCTGATGAACAACCTTACCACCATCACCCAGCATCTGAGTAAAATTTCTAGAAGTCAGAAAACTATGGGTATCTAATATGAGAATCATCCTAGTGCCAAAATTTGGATGGAACTGTTTACTAGCCATAAAACAGCTACTATTAAAATGATATTAAAAATGGATAGCTTCTAATTAATAGACTGAGACCATTAAAAATAATTAAGAGCCAGGCATGGTGGTACATGTATATAACTCAAGCACTTAGGAGGCTGAGGCAGGAGAATCGTGAAACTCAAGGCCAGCATGGAATATATAGGTAAAACCTGTCTTAACAAAAGAAATAACAGGTAAGAAAGTATTTTGCCTCTCACTGTCTGTCCCGTGAATCAGACCCTTGGTCTTATTTTATAATCTCCACTCCGGAGGTGCTGACATTTGAATGACCATAGACTTTCCCCTTAGAGTCTACTCATACATTCTTTCCACCTCTAATTCTTCCATTCAAATAATGACGCCTGGAAAATTATGGGTAGAAAGTGTTGACATTGGCCCTTTGCTTTCTGGAAGTTAGAAATCTTTCCTTGTAATTGGCAAAAGAGCCCAGAAATAATCCACATGAATATAGTCAGCATAACTTTTAGAAAGGTGCAAAGGAATTCCATGATAGGATAATCTCTTCAACAAATGATGCAGGGATATTTGGAGATTCATATGCACAGAAATGAAACTAGATTACAGACTTTGCACCTAACAGATAAAATAACTCAAAATAAGCCATGGACCTACATGTGAACTATAAAACTCTAAAACTTGTAGACTAAAGCATAGGTGAAAATCTGTATGACCTTGGGCTTTACAAGGTGCTATATACCACCAGAAAGCATAATATAAAAAGAAAAATATAGAGCAGTGGAACTTTATCAAAGTTAGAGACATCTGTTTCATGAAGGACACTGTTAAGCTTAGGACTGAAAGCTCAAGTTACAAACAGAAAATTTTACAAAATTATCTGGTAAAAGAACTGCATCCAAAATAGCAAGGAAATTTTAAAACTCAACATTAAAAGATGAATAACCTAATTTTAGAACAACCAAAGGATCTGAATAGATTATTTTACTAAAAAAGAAAGATGGTAGCCAGATTCATTGGTATATGCCTTTAACCGCAGTTACTTGGGAGGCTGAGGTCATAGGATCACAAGTTGAAGGCCAGAATGGTCAACTTAGTTAGATCCTGGCTCTGTCTCAAAATAAAATTGAAAAGGGTGGATGATATATCTTTTTTATACTTGCTTATGGAAAATTTCAAACATGTGAAAGTAGAAAGAATAGTAATTAGCAGTGGTTACATCCATCTGCATACAGCCGGAAAAAAGAGAGCTATACAGATAGCTAATAAGTATATGGACAGATGCTCAAGATCATCAGTCGTTAGGGAAATGAAAATTATGACAAGGCGTTGCAACTACATGCCTGTTAGAATGATTCACATTCAGAACAGCAACAAAAAATGCTGGTAAGGGCATAGAGCAAAACGAGCTTTCATTCAATGCGGATGAAAGTTGAGAATCACTTGGGAGAGTTTGGTAGTTTCTTAAAAAGCTAAATGTAGTTAGTTGTACAGTATGCCCAGCAATTATGCTCGTTGGTGTTTACATGACTGCCTGAAAAACTCACATGCACACAGACCCCTGCACTTGACAATATAGGGCAGCTGTATTTGGAATTGCCATAAACCGGAAGCAACCAAGATAACCTTTAGTAGGTGAATGGGTAAACAAGCTGTGGCCCATCCACACAAGATAACATTACTTGTCTCTCAGGAGTGCCCTATTAAGTCATGTAAAAATATAAGTGAATGCAGTAATTCGGAGCAAAGGGGTAAGGAGGTTGAATAGGAGAAGGATGGGAATTTTAGGATTGTGAAAGTACACTGTATGGTACTGCAGTGGTGGCTACAGGACACAAAATCCAGGGAACTTTACCGCATAAGTGAACCTGAAAGCAAATCTAGGAGGCCTGGTGATCCCAGGATGGAATGCAGACTGTGACAAAACAATCAGCCATAATGTCCCCAGGTCGAGGGGCCGGGGCGGGGTGCCAAGCTAACTAAGACTAGTTGCCAGTCCCAAAGCCTTTCTATAGTCGTGCTGGACTTGGGACTTCAGTCAATGGTAGTAGATAGCAAGAGCTAGGCTTCTTGCCTTTTGAATGGGAATTTACAGATAAGCAAGGAAGGAGGCTAGAATGATGCATGTGGTGCAAGACCAGTTGGAGAGATAAGTATGAATTCAAGTTTAGTGTAACATATAACTGCTATATATAGAAGTATCTATAGGTGTAGTGGTACTTTGATTTATGAACTTAATTTGTTTTATGGTTTGGGGGACGATGACTGCATTTGTGTTTGTACAAGGAAGGTGGCTATGGTTTGGTTTGTCACCCCATGCAGAGTTTGCAAATGAAAGCCGGCCGAACACTTTTGTTTGTGAACTGAATTGTTTGTAAGCAGAAGTGTTCATGAACCCAGGTTTTACATGTATGTACACACACATTAGGACTGTGTTAGTGTTTATTTACAAGATCTGTCACCTGACAGACCCCTGAAAGCAGGTACTTCAGTAGCAGTGAGTGCATCAGTTCTGTTTGCGAAAGTTTGGGTTTCTTTTACCATTCTGCAAGAAAAGGAACTAGGGCTCCTTGGAGAAATGGCTGATTTTAGAATCAGACAGAGAATAAATAAGATGAGCTTGTAGCATTTTGTAATGCCAGAGTGTAAGGAAGTGCTTTTAAAAAATTCCACAAAGAGCTCCCAGAGGCCAAAACAGGAACAAGCTGGTGCAACAAAATAAAATAATTGGCTTATCTAAATAAAAGTACACATTATAAACCCAAATATGAAATAAGCAACTCTGAGTCCATGGTGATAGAAGTGATTGAATCAGTGTATGGAATGCAGGTAGGTGAATCCCTCACAGAGGTGTGTATGGGTTTGTGCTAGGAGGGAATAGAGGAAGCCCTTGGGGACTGGGGAAAGTGTGACCCTGGATCTGAGGACCAGGACAGTGTTAGGAATACTTAGGTGGAGGAGCATGGCTTTGATGTTCAGTCAGTATTTTTTTAATGGAGGAAAACTTTCCTGAGATAAAGATATTTTGGGATTAGAAGGGTTTGGGTCTAGGTTAGTATTTAGGTTAGGTTAAGGTTTAGCTGGCTTGTGTTTAGGGGGAAAAATCAGTGAACATAGGTATATTCTTAAACTTGTGTGTCAGAAAATTTTTTTAAAAAGTTAATCTTATACATACTATGGAAAGAAAAAAGTTACCTCCAAAGAAACAACTGACCTGGAATTTCTGAGGAGAAGTGATTGGGAATATTCTACTGGGGCAGCCTGGGTTTTCCATCAAATGCTTCTGACCCGTCATTGCACAGCTCACATGCAGTGTGACACAGGGGACCGATATTCTCCCGGGGGCAGGCATGAGGTGGCTGTGTGATTCTGCCTGTGGAAGGGAAGGCAAAATTATGGGAAAGAGAGTTGAAATCTTGAGCAGAAAAGAAAAAAGCCCTATAACTTGACTGATGCAGAAACAAGTCTTTTCAACTCTCTTTCATTGGTGGTAGACACGTTTGTTTTAACTTTAAAATTTTAAAATTTTTATTAGTACACGTTTGTAGTACACAGTGATTATAGTCATTGTGGGGACCTGCTGCAGGTACTTAACACGTGCTAACACTTTTTATGTCCTTTCCACTTATCCCCTCCCTCCAGTTTTTGGTCCCCTTCTCATTTGCCAAAGACTATTTTTAAAGAATGTTTTTAACTTAGTTGTTTTATTTGCTTTTTGCTATTAGAGGTGATCACTAGAGTGTATACCGTTTGTGCCCTTATAAAAGTAAGTGCAGTTAGGGGCCGGGGAGATGGCTCAGTGGAGTAAGCGCTTCCCTGGGAAACGCAAGGGCCTGAGTTCAATCCCCGGTTCCGAAAAAAAAAAAAAAAAAGTAAGTGCAGTTGTGTAAATTTGTAGAAATAGTGTGACTGGGATAAAGGACATATGCATTTTGAACATATATCAGCACTCATAGATGACCCTTCTACGTCCTGGCTATACCTGTATCGCTCTCCCGCGCCCAAACTTAGTATTATCAAAGTTTTATTGTTAGCAGTGATATAGGGAAATTACAGTTTCTGTATTTAGTATTAATTTCCATTTATTTATTATTTTGTTCACGTTTATCCAGCATTTAAAAAATGATTTCATGTTTACTTGACATTTAATTATTTTTCCTGTAAACTGTTTGTCCTTGTCATTTCCTGTTTTTCTAAGTGCTCCCTGCTATTACGACAATTAGTACCTGTTCTCCCTATTTTTACAAGTATTTTTTCCTTTGTCATTTGTCTTTCAATTTTATTTCATGCAACATAGAAGATTTTTATTTATTTATTTATTTATTTGGTTTGGTTAGATTGACAACTCTCCATATTCCTTCTTGGATTTGTGTCTTGCTTGGAAATATCCTTCCCCAGGAATCATTTTTAAATAATGTTATAAATGATAATGTCATAAAAGCAAGATTGTATAAATATTAAGCAAAGAAGGTTTGAATAAAAGTTCTGAAACAAAACTATATACATTGTATATTTCAGGCTTCCTTATGAATTTCTTAAAAGAATTGGCAGAACATCATCAAGCTAAAGAGGGATGCGATGTGGAAACTCAGACAAGTTCAATGTTTCCTAGCAAGGACTCTCTTGGTAATTGTACCTCAACCTTTTTGCTTCATTTTAGTTCTATTGGTTTTCTCTTTTTTTTTAAATTTTATTTATTTATATGTGTGTGTGTGTGTGTGTGTGTGTGGCCAGCTCAGCCCACCAGGGGGCAGGGCTGGCTGGCATGTGGTGCTTGGGGATCAACCACGGTCCTTGTGCCTTGCCACGCTTGTTCTAAGTAGGTGCTCTAGACCACTGAGCCATCTCACCTGCCCCTGGTTTTCTTTTTGAATGGACGAAATTGCCTCATTTATCATGATTGTTACTCAGACTGGAGAGAAGCCACCTATACGCGATAAGGACATTCATTTCTGCTGGAATCATGTTCCAGGAGCTTGGAAGCAGGAATTGTGGAACGAGGAATTGTTCTCCAGTGTTGTTCCCATTCTTGCCAGGGCTATACTGGCCAAATCATGCAGGGATCCCAAAGCCACCTTCTTCCTAGTTCTCTGAAACATTCTTCCTTGGTCTGGGCAAACTTTATTTTACAGCCATTAAGGTAACATGTCATAGACTTATTTGTTCTGCAGAGAGCTGGAGAAGTCCTTAGCCCATCACTTCACTTTATAGTTGAGGAAATGGAGGAAAACATCTTGAAAATACCCAGTCTACTCAGAATCAGTATTGGAACTTGAGTTTTCTGGCACACGAGGTAGAATTGTTTTGGTTTTTTTCAAGCTATGCAAGATATCTACAATGCCATGTGTTTTGTGCTTAGCAGAGATGGAAAAGAACAGTTTAAACTAATGTGCCTAAGCAGCTGGTCTCCTGTCCTTATTTGTCAATAATAATAGTGCCTGTAACTTGTAAGAAGAAATTCATCATTTGTAGAAACTGTAAAGGATGATTAGAACTTTTGAGTACAGGTTGAATTCCAATAGAAATATATTCCATGTTGCTGGGCATGGTGGCACATGCTTCTAATCCCATTACTCGAGGGGCTGAGGCGGTAAGATCACTGTGAGCCACATAGTGAGTTCAAGGCCAACCTGGACTCCTTAGTGAGACTTTGTCTCAAATATATATACATTTTCTTTTCTTGCATGTTTATTGTAAATTGGTGCTGCCCAATAATGTTGCCTGTATAAGTAATTTAAATTTTTAGGAACTACACCAAAAAGGTGAAAAGAAACAGGTGAAGTAGTTTTTAATAATGTTTTACTTAACTCAACATACCCAAAATATTTCAACATGTACTCAGTATAAAAATATTAACGAGATATTTCATTTCGTTTCTGTATAGAAAGTCCTGTGTTGGACTGCACAGGTATGGAGCATTTGGAAAACATAGAAAAGTAGCTGGAAACCTATGTCTAAAGTGAGACCTACAGGCGAAACCTGTTGCTGTGTTAGTCTGCTCCTGCCAGTCTGTTTTACCCTGTACATACTTTTCTTGCTATTGGTGCCATACATGTTTGGGATTATATGCTCCAGTCAGGTTTTCAGTTTGGTCTGTGGCTGATTCTGTCCCATCTTTGGCTTGAGAGTGACAGGCTTTCTGGAAAGAGTGCTGCCTTGAGTGTCAACAGGCTTTCCTTAGTGCCAGTTGTACTGTAGTTGCTTTACCTGATAAAAGTCATTGCTTAAGATACCTGATCTTGGGGCTGGTGAGATGGCTC